AAAACTTTAGAATGGTTATCATAAAGTCATACAGTTATCCTATGAATAAAATTGTTCTTATTTGGGAATCAGAATTATCTACTTTTTCATGGCCATTGAAGGGTGGGCATGTCACAAGAAATTAGCAACAATTAAACAAAGACAGCACATAGATACAGCATAAATACCAACCACGGGGTAGAGATTAAATTTAGAGTTTTAAATTATATCCTGTACTCTCAGTCATTAAATTTAAAGTGTGTGAACAGATAATTTGGCAATAAAAGTTTGGAAACACTTCAAATTAGAGGAGGAGGAACAGGTCTGAATGGCACAGACACCTCCGCTCACATTTAGCTCTGAACCCAAGCAGGACTTGGGAAGGCCTGAGAAAGAAATGTGTGGCAGACGGGGGGCAGTCTGGGTGTTCCTGTGCTCAATGGTTCCTGCCAGGGGGAGATGCCAAAAGTCCAAAGTATTACGAGAATGACTTTTGCGGTAGCTCTGGCCTCCTAGGAATTAGGAAGCGCCATAAATCTCAGAGAGGGACTGTTTGTGCAAAATTCCAGGAGCACATATGCAGACGCCAGAGGTCCAGATGCATTTTTTTATGGGTCAGAAAAGTACGCACCTTTGCAGGCACACCTCTCATCCAAGCTTGAACTCCACATCTCCATGGTTTGTCCATCATTTGGCTACCAAGAATGCTACCTAATCCACAGTTTGCAACTATTTTTAACAGGGTCATCTGCATTGTCAAAAACTGCCCATATTTTGGCAGATAAGCCAGTCAACTCTGGACACAGGGCTGGTATCTTAGATTTCTTTTTGGAAAGTGTCTACGATTTATGGTGGGAATTATTCATGACAGCTGCATTCTTTCCACTGGGCTTAGACCACCATTTGCTCTAATAACTCCTAATTGTGTGTCTATCCTAGACTAAGCTTCTTCAGAAGAAAAAGGGGAGTAAGACTTTTAAAAATCCCCTGCAGCAATACTCAGTGACTTCTGCCAGCAGTAAACACCATTTTGAAACATAAAGTCAGCTGACGGTGAACAAATAAATGATATTTCAAGAAATGTGAATTTCTTCAGAGAATCTTTTCTTACTGCTGTTCATGCCAGTCCAATTAAAAAAAATGTAAAATGACTTAGTTTCATCGTGTTCCCAAAGTATTTTTAGCATACGGGCAAAATTCCTGTCAACATTCACAGTCATGTTACTTGCTTGAAAGAGGTACCTCTCAAAGTGATTTTTCTCCAAACTTCACCAAAGCATAACATGTGTACCTTGAAGACACTGCTCATTTAAAAATCATATGAAGTCTAATTATATTTCCAAAATAAGTAGTTTCCAATCCAGCAAGGATAATGTGGTCATGAGAAGGATGTCCAAATCCACCAATTTACATTGGTTTGGTTTGGCATAACTTTCAAAGTTCTTGGAGTAAAAAGAAGATGGCACGTGAATAATGGTAATTTGGGTAATACTCTCAGGATGCTGGGCTTGCCATTCTGTGAGCCATTCAGGGGAAAGCTAATCAACTTGAAGACTGTACCTATATAATTTATAACTGCTTAAATTCACTGATATGTTCCAGATTATTTTTCAAAATGTAATACCCTCCTTTTTAATATGTACTTTGTCATTTTCACTCTATTTATGTAATTTAAAAAGTATGATAGCAGGGGAGCATGAGCCGTTCAAAGCAGGAGCCACTAATGTCAGAGATTGTTATCATTCACAAGATATATGGTGTTGATATCTCTGAATCTAAAGGGCTTGGAAGTTGTGTCAAGTTGGATTCATATTGCATCTAATATGTTTTGCTTTACTCCCTCTTACTTTCTGGTTTCTATCTAAAGCCACAAAGCAGTTCCTCTGCTGTGACTCAGTCCTACAATCACAGTGGTGGCACAGGTCTGAATTACCCTCCCTGTCGCCATTACCAGCAATCCCTCCTTTTATCCCAAAAGAAAGTTGGATTATTAATTCAGGATGAGGCTGTTTTCATTAAACAGTACAGTGCTTTCCAATTGTTCATATGTAACATATCCAATCCATACCGCTCTTTCAAATGTTTTTGATTACTTAAGTTTAAAAAAAAATTATACTGAAATTTATGAAAACCAAAGAGAGGACTTTTTACGTTGTAACTTCAAACTTCTATATGAGAAAAAGAAAAGTTTTGGATAATGGAGAATTTCAGTAGTTGAAATTCAGTTTACAGATCTAGACAACATATACATTTCAATAGCATTTAAGATAGTATTAGAAAAGGAAGAGTTCTAGCTTCAAAATAGAAAGGCACTTGATTTTATAACTTGTGTAAAGGGATATACATATTAAGGTTTAAGTAAGGTCCATATTTGCAATAAAATTTCGTTGAAATTCAGATAATTTTACTTATTATTGACTTCTGATAAGGGTCCAGCTAATAAGCAAAAAAAGTTAATTTAAAAAGAAACATAGGTCAATTATCTCATTTTTTATTGTGATAGATAATAATTAACCTTTCATCTTTAATCACTATCTTAAATAGGACTAATCCAACAGATTCTTTTTAAAAACATATTAGGATTTCCCATTTGGAGAACATCGATCCATATATTCATTCCATTGATGTTTTTATTTTCTAAAATATTCTTTTTCTCTAAATCTTTCAAAGAAATTGATAACCCATGGGAAAAAATCAGGGCCATTTTTATTTGGTCAAACTTCGTTCGTTTCTTTGTGGTGGCAAGCAAGATGACATTGTTCATCATTCATGGTTCTGAATGACATTTGACTACTTCCAAATACAAAACTATTCCTAAACTTGTCATTATGAACATTCTTCTATAGACAGTATAGGATTCCTAAAGGGAATTTTACAGAAGAATTTCAAAATATTTTCCTTAGTGGCTACATGTTCAGAAAAACTAAGAGGGAAAACATTGAAAGGGACACACTTACTTAAATATACACATTTTAGTATTTTTAGTATCTATCACATTATTTAAAATTTAATAGGCTAAAGCTAAGTACCAAACACAATCTAATAACAAAGCAAGAAAGAAAATGGCTAGTAAATTATTCATAAATTAATCTTTTAATGTTCTGGGTGCATGTGTATAAACTTAAGACCCATGTGGACCAATACTAAAACTAGGAATTAAGTATTAGAAAAATTTTAATTAGGGTGATTGTCACATTTAAGCTGTCAAGTACACATTGTACTTTAGAACAAACTGGAGTACCCTTAGATTAATGGAGTTATTTTGTGCATCAGGAAGAAAGAATATATTTGATTTTTATAAATGTATATGTCTTAGAAACTTTTGCCACTTGCTAGTAGGTGTCTAGCATCATCTGATTCCTCAGAATTCATACTTCTCAGCAAGGGACAGAGTCTCAGTAAGTTATTACTATATTACTCTAGAACTACAAAAATCACATCAATTAATACCTTTGCTAATAGCTGTTCGATTTTATTGCCATTATCCCAAATTACTCTATAGTTTATTACATGGAAGAGTAAAGCCATAATGAATATTTTCCTAAATTATGCCATCAATACAAGTGTTATTAGTTATATTAGTCTACCCTATTGATGAAATATTTTGCACAATGGCAGAAATGTTCCTAATATAAAGTATGCAAAAATATAGATATGATAAAACAATAAAGGAGCTCACTTCATGTCAGTAAAGAGCTTTGTAAAGTCTTTATTCTATTATACTATAATAATAATTTCTGCCAATATATTTAATACTCAATATTGTGAATTACGATGATTAACTGTGGTACTATACCACTTCCCTAGTGAAACTGTTGAGATAACAACCTGTATATTGGCCGGTAATCTAGGCCTCTCTAAAGCCCTAGAGACATCAAAGAATATATACTCTTGACATTAAAATTAAGTTATTAGCATTTTTAGGGACAATTAGCATGTTTGGATACATGTTTCTCTTTTCATTTACCTGTTCCATCATTTTCCTGATAACCTGGTCATGAAAATAAATAGAAACAATAAATAGATGTGTGGAAAACATCCTCTCTAAAGCCCTAGAGACATCAAAGAATATATACTCTTGACATTAAAATTAAGTTATTATCATTTTTAGGGACAATTAGCATGTTTGGATACATGTTTCTCTTTTCATTTTCCTGTTCCATCATTTTCCTGATAACCTGGTCATGAAAATAAATAGAAACAATAAATAGATGTGTGGAAAACATGTGATTGATCAAATTTATGACAAGGGTAAGTTATTTTGAGTTTAGATGACCAGTTCTAAAATTATCTGAAACTCATGTCACCATTTTGCTAAGAATTTCTTTTTATTTTCTCCTCCATGATGGAGCACCCCATTACCTATAATATACTAGATGTTATCAAACTAGTTATATGTCTGGAATTGAATTTTCATTCTATTGTTTCAAATAATCAGATCAAAATATGTTATGCTATAGTTATCACAGGAAAAAGAGAACGGAATGGGATAGAACGGAATGGAAGGGAAGAGAAGAGAAGTGGAAGGGAGGGGAGAAAGTGAGAGAGAGACAAGAGAAGGGAGAGGGAGGGAGGAAAGGAGAGAGACAGGAAGGCATGAAAGCAGGAAGGAAGGCAGGAAGGAAATAACTCACAAATGCCTTGAGTTATTTTACCTTTCGTAAAAAGACCTTATGCACATGTACTTGGAGGTTCTTCCCCACCCCACCCCCCTCAGTTTGATTTCTATCTTTTCTTGGAAATGAATCTTGAATATACTATGTAATCTCATGCTACCTACTGCTCTTTTGTGGTTCAACTAAACTTAAATTTGTTGATGATTAATTGTCACTAAACTTTATGATTAATTTAATTGAATTAAATTTGAAGATTGCTTAGTTTCAGAAACAGAAAAAAATTTTTTCTCTGTGAGGAAGAGATATTTGCTGGTGATTTACTACTCTCTTCCTTCCCATATTTTTTTTCTTTTGCCATCTCAGTTCTTCTATGTGCTAATATAAAATATGCCCTTTTGTTTTCAGGTCTAGATGTTGATGGAATATATCGAGTTAGTGGCAATCTAGCAACAATACAGAAGTTAAGATTTATCGTCAACCAAGGTAAGTAATTTCTTCACTTCAGACATTTTTTTCAGTAGTTTCTTCTCTAACAATATTTCAGACTCTGTGCTGTATGTTCTGTGAATAAATAATGATAAAAGTTTTGAAGGGAGAACGAGAAAGTTGAAGAAATTACAAAATGATTACCAGAGAAGTCAAAGATAACAAGTTTACATGGAGATGAATAAAGATTTAATGTCAACTTTTTGAGTAATTGAATTTTTAAAAAATTAATATTTGAAAGTCTTGGAATCAAATCATAGGCTACTGGTTGAAATGTCTGTCTCTTCCATAAATCACTAAGAAGGTATGACTTGGATCATCCTCATCATTCTTGTATCTTTCCTCATTAACCAGTGCTAGCCTTGAGGTCTTCACACAGGGAGTTCTTAATTAATATCTTTGGAGCTGTTACATGTGTGTGTTGCAGGTAGAAGAAGTATGAAAACTGAGAAGCATTAAACTCTCCAGCAATTCAACTCAGGTTGATCCACTCTTTTAAGTGTTGACTGCAGTAGTTTGGGCCAGTTGCCAAATGACTCTTTTTTCTGAGAATCTCTGTAAATGAGAATTTCCACAGTTCTGCTTGTTTACTAATGCAATCATTTGTTTTTCACAATTATTCTCTTTTCTGGGCAAAACACAGAACTAAACTTCACATTGGTACCACTGGACTGAACCAGAGTACCCCTTCTGTGAGTAAAAACTGGATAAAATAGCCCCAGCCTCAAATTCATTCCTGTTTATAACCAGCTATAATCATTCTTGTAATATATTTCATGCTGAAACCATATCCTGATTGGGATTCTAGACAGCTGGGCAACACATTTCTTCCACAAAGAAGAAATCTCAAAACAGAAGCCATGCTAGAAACAAACACTAGCTGCATTTCCTGTCTTTAAAAAGATTGTGCTCAGCAGTTTGAAAAGCAAGACAAAAAATCTGCAATGAAAATATGAAATCTGTCCATCTCGTCTTTTGCAATCCAAACTTCAGCGTCCTCTGAGGCTATGTAACTGCTCATGTTTCCCTGTGAGTTGACAATGTAAAGCTGGACAGAGGCCTGAGTTGGTATCTGGTAGCACAGAATTGTCAGTAAACTGTCTCCCTGGTTTATAACACTGTCAGAATTCAACACTCAACACAAATTATGCTACATTAGGACCTTTGATACCAGCGATTTTGTCCAAGTTATGCTGTGGAGTTTTTTGAATTAGATGCTAAATGAAATGCATATACCAGCCCCTTTCAAAATTTACTAATCAAATTATTCTTTGAATGAATTTTCTGGACTGGTCCCATCTGTTTGTCACTAACGCCATATCTTCCCCTCTATTACACCAGGGCTCTAACAGTAGAGCTGACTTAGAGGAGAATCAGTTATGGTTACGAAGAGGCTGTATGTGTACATGTGGCCTCGTGTGTGTGTGTGTGTGTGTGTGTGTGTGGGTGTGTGGGTGTGTGTGTGTGTGTGTGTGTGTGTGTGTGTGTGTGTGAGAGAGAGAGAGAGAGAAAATAAAACAGTGATGCAGTGATAAAGCCTTGCAAAGCATAGAATGTTATGCAAATGCGATACATTCTTTTTTGTAGTTTGAGATGGAACATAAACGATTTTGGCATACCTTCCTTGTATTAACACCTATTATTTCCTCCAAGTTCACCTTACATAATGTTTCTTTTTCAGAAGGCTCTAAATATACGTTTTTTGAAACAAATAAGCCCTACCCTCTGTTAAACTAGACAAATGAAAACTGATTTTGGCTATTTTCAAGAAAGGTTGAATTGCAATTTATGTGTTTCACTAACTTTCTTGAATGCTGTAATCATCAGCAATTCTAAATACACCAGTTGAATGATTCAATTTGTTTTGGTTTTCTGTTTGACTCACTAAATCAGTAGGAATTAGATACCCTTATTATACTTCCAGATCAGATGACATAGAAGTTAAATTCAAAGTGATCACTTTTGAAAAGCATTTCCTAATTATAACTAGTAGTGATGTTAACAATTATTATTATAAAAGTAGCTAGCCTTTTTATAATTTATTACATGCCAGGTACTGTACAAAGTGCTTTACTTATATAATTTAATTTAATCTAATCCTTTCTTCCATCCCATAGAGTAGATACTATTATTATTCCCATTTTAAAGATGAGAAAACTAAGGCTCAGATGTCAAATAATGCCCTAAAGTCATACAACATGTAAGTGAGGGAGCTAAGATGAGATCCCAGATCTCTCTGACTCAGAGCCTATGCTACAAACCACTGCCACGATTCTGCATTTTTCATTCATTAATTGTTGTTTACCTTCTTATAAAAGAAGAGACTAGTCTTTTCATGCTACACACACTTGTTTGTGACTTTCTGTTTACACTCTACTTCTTGGTATTGGTTAAGTGATAAGTGCTACCATTGGAGTTTGCCTAAAATTGTTCAAGAAAAGAGATGCTTGGGAAAATGCCAAACCACAGTTATGAAGAGGCCTCGTACTGCCATTCTCTGTAGGGCTTTATGTAGCAATGTTTGGACCAAGAGACTACTTTAACACAATATTCTGTTTTAGCCTTCAGGAAAGGCATCAAGGATTCCTGATTTACTGGGCTGTTGGTGCTTTAGTGGTGCTCTGCCCTGTATGTTGAATCTGGTGACAGTTTTAGTGACATTTTGCTGATGCAATTCTTCTGCTCTGTGAGGACATACCCCAAAGAAAACTGGTCCATGACCTTAGATGTCAATCTGTCATCAGCCTGTGACATCACATTGCTTCTTCAGAATGATCTGTTACCATTTGATGGCTTTCTTGCTGGGGTTACTTTTGCAAAGGACAGATCCAGCATGGAAGGTGCTTCATAACTGTCTTAAGAACTTGTGACAGTGGATCTTGGAAATCCCACCAGGCTGAATTCCCCTTTCTCCCCATGTCAACACTCAGATTTGAGCTGCCCATCTAGGCTATTGCCCAAACTCTAAAATCAGTTCAGACTCTCTTAGGTCTTACATAAACATCCTCTTTCACCCTTTAAAAGAGGGACAAGGGAGATTGGCATTCTTTTTGGAAAATACCAGCTATGAAGCTTCCCAAGCCTATGAGCCAATGCGAGAGCTATAAAGCACTGCAGGAAGAAATGACTGGGAATTTTCCAGACTGGTGTTTCTAAGTACACAGTAACAAAAATTCCCTCTAACTGCTTCCCTGATCTGGAGAAAATTACTTTTTACCAGGATTTTAGATGTGGTTTCATATATAGAAATTCCTTAAAATTTAAAGGAAGACTCTTAGGAACACCCCCCTTCACTTTTTCACACCAGGACAGACAAAATATATACATGCCATCAATGTACATGGCCAGAATCCTGTGTGTGTGTGCATGTGTGCACATACTCACACGTTTGTCGTTTAAAATGAAAAGGTTTTCTGCCATTAATTTATAGTCATGCACTATGCATATCTTTACACACCCAGATTTTATTGGCGTAATAATCCAAATTAGGTATTGGCTGAAAGAGATGGATTTGCTTATTTTGAACATGCTAAGAATAAGCTCCATTGAAAACAAACTATTAGAAAAATGATTTTGTATTACCAACTATATCTAAATTACTTTTATATAGATTTGTACCTTAAAGCTAGGCATTAAGTTTAGATATCTGTGCTTTTCATATTATTTGCAGCATCAAAATTAAATAAAAGAAAGAGGAAGTGAGAGAGAATGTGAACAATTGGCAGTTTCATAATGAAATAAACAACTGAATGAAACAGAAAAAGATCTGGAAAAGGATTTCAAAACTTCTAGTTCTGTTTTTTGTAAAGAAAAAAAAAAGCCCTTGTATCAAGTCCATTCATTTTTCTATTAAGTGAGTTTATATTGCCCTCTTATTATTTTTAAAACGAGGTATTTCCTTAAGCCTACTTCACTCACACCACCAACCACAGCCACAACAAAACAAACTATGTTATTTGCTTTATCCCGTTCCGCAGGGCGGTTTTTTTGTAAGTCGAATCATTGATATTGCACCTTTTGCCTTCCATGTGACAAGATTATCTTTTAACAGTGATTTATTTTTCCCATTAAAGCTGAAAAGATCACTTGATCATAAAGGGGCCAGACTCTAACATCGTTCAGGGCTTTGGAAACTTTCTTAGATGTCATTTTTCAGCTACATTGAGTCAGAGAGCTCAAAGACTATTGATGGTGAAATTTGTGTTGCTTTCTAGCTGCTTAAGAAAATGCATTGGCATTAGTAAATAATGCTGAATACAGAGGTGAAAACAGTAAGTTCTTCACGTTCATACACATTTATATAGTTTCCACTTTTACATTATATTCCGATAGCAAGTTTATGAAACCTTCCCATCTCTAAAGTACAAAAATTCTGACTACTTATTTTAAGTCAAAATTATGTCATACACTTATTGTGGATTATGTTTTATAATTCATTACATATCAAGCAATAAGAAGGTGACCTAATGCTCTGGTAAAACAATTAAAGGCAAAGACCATCTAGTGGGGAAAGAGAACCAGATAAGAATCAAATCTGCCTCCTTATCTTGATTCAGAGCTATTTGGGAGTCTAATAGAAATATTTTGATCCTTTTCAATTTCAAACTCTTTATTTCTGAAATGGAAATAATAATGAAAATACAAGGACTTTAAAAACCAAATCACCAAGTGATGATTTGTATTAACTTTAACTAAGATGACAAGTAGTGAGATAAAATCAGATTAATATTGCTTAGTTTTCTTAGTAATAACTTGATTCTAAATATTAATAATCAAATATGGTTTTTGCCTCTACTTGATTGAATTTTCTTTGATAATAACAAGATTCTTTTTCCAGGAAGAAAACCAAATATAGGGAAGCTTTGGAGACTCCTTACTATCCAATGATTGATCTCATTACTAGCCAAATTCACAGGGCTTTTGGATTTCTGGACACATAAGAGAAAGTTAATTTTACATTATTAATAAGTTTTGGGGAGGTTCCAAATTGCCAAAGA